GACTGTCTCACAAACTTCCACTCTAAAATATCATAGTCTGCATAATCGTGGTCCATTTTTCTAGGACACCTTGCACAATTATGTTTCTTCCGTTGAAGAACGTCTCGCGAGTTACCCTGGGGATATTCCTGATGAGAGTGCTCTCCAAATATCGTGTGTCATGCAGTATTCCAACATCCACTTCTGATTTGTGCAAGCGAACGTCACATGGTGTAATCTAAGAATAATTTGGTGCTTGGATTCCTTCCTCCGGCTAAATCATGTAACAGTCATTTGCACAAGTTCGAGCAGCTTTAGCTTCCCGTTCAACTCTCCCCAAATCATTATGTCGTTTTTGTTCCTCAGACTAAAAGAAATTTCAGAGTTGTATGTTAGGTTTGCGATTATGGGACAATCATCGCAAATCGTAATCGCTATCCTGAGTTTTCGGCAACGTTACGGTTGTGGTTCTACCTAATAATGTAAACATCTGAATATAACTGGATAAGCATAGTAAAGATTTGATTTGTTAGTTAGACATTATAAGTTTCTTCGATAATTTTATGTTTACTTGTCACCCTGAAGAGTTCCGGACAGGTTTGCTTGACTAAATTTTGGAATTTTTTTAAGTCGCGATCGCTGGGATTATTTCAAATATAATTTTCACACATGGTGTCTTCTCCATACTTGGCGCTTAATTTCTGTGGAACTATTCACTCTAAGATTGACGAATGTTCATATAAATATAGTTCTCATTGTTTGGCGGCTGAATATCACTTCAGGTCCCCGTACTCTTTGTTAACTGGTTAGAACAATTTTAGGGGTAGACTCCAAAGCCAGTTTACCGGTTGATATCCCTACAAGGTCTCGGCAATTCAGTATTTTCGATTGTGACGTTCGATCTTTTTAACCCCGTTGACAATAGTCCTGTCGCCTTCAGAATGTATAGGGACCATAGTTGCACTCATGTAGTCTGTGCTGTAGAAAACAAGTTTGCTGAAAAAATCCAACACCGTTGATGTTATAGTGGTGCTGGGTTTCAATATAACCTCACTATCACTGATGCGGGTTCGATCAATACTAATGTTGTCGAAGACACCCTTCCTTACTTTGCTTACTTTGCAAATTAAATAGTAAATTGGAGCTGAACTGACTCCTCTCCTTCACTCAATGCCGGTACACAATGCTCCTACTGGCTAGACCGAAACCACAACACCCGGATAGCTTGTTGCTAGAACTCTAGATTAGGGTATCTCAAAATTATTGAGATTAAGGTAACCAATTTATAAGTGAATATGTTTAGTTGAATGCTTCTGATCTGCAGACTCATCTAGAACTACGGATTGACCTGTCGTTTGTGGGGTGACATCATGCTTGTTGTTCATGCGCTTTATATTATTCACTGTGTTGCAAACTGTCTTTAGCTGGTTATTTACTATAACGCTGTTAGACGATTCTATCGCTTCACTTCCTTTTACACGATGTTGGCAGGGCGTTAGGTCAGGAGTGAATTTTATACTCTTTTATGTAATTACTGAGCTAATATTTTTACTCCAGTCAGTAAATTGCTTAGCATCGTTACGACAGCTAAACTTTAACAGGAGAGAGCAAGTTCATCTATCCGACATTTTTCTAGAGAGATGATCTGGCAGTTGACTTTCAGCATACCGCATGCTTTAAGGCAAATATCTCCTGACTTATTTGAGTATGTGCGATTGTATACAATTGCATTATGAGAAGACGTCAATCTTTTCGTCACTTCTTTATCCACAAACTCTAAAACACACTCCGCTTTTGTGAGTTGTCCAAGATTTTTTCAATGTTAATACCGCATATGTGTGTGAGGGGTGTAAATTGGTTAAGTCAACCGTTAATTCTGGCTAGAGAGTTTTGTAACTGACTGATGTCAGTACTATATTAATCCGTATTTTCGTACGTGTGAGACAAACTGTTGGACACCTTGGTTTTTGGTATTTTGGATTTAGGCCTTAGTAAAGCATGCTGTCTGGTAGACCGTGTTGACTTTTCGATGCGTGTTGTTATTTCGCTTTTTAATATCAACTAGTCTTACCGTTGGCATACTGCATGAAGTGAAACAGCGGTAGCTACATGGAGAATCAGGTAGTGAAAGTGATATTTGTGGATAGGACGCATAGGATTCAAAAGGTAAAGGTTTATCGTTGTCAGGTACTGAGTCATCAGTCATAGGGGTTGCAGACTTTGCCCATTTTGTAGGCTTGGAAGTTCTGAAGCTCCTCCTTTACTAGAGTTGCTTGCCATAGTGTGAGGCTGGATGAGTAAACAGCTTGTATAACTAAAATATAATGTCTGAGTATTTAGTTACTATTAGGTATTAACAGGGTCAAGACTAAGATCAAAGTCTATGAGTTTATAACGTGTGCCAGATATAAGGTGTTCAGTTATAACGAAAGAGAGTACAGATCAGTGGAATAATTATATTTCAATTAGTATGATCCAAAGATAAAGATGCGTCAGTGTCAATTGCTGGGGCCTCATATAAGATATGTAGGAAATGAAGTCTGCGATATCTATGTATTAATTGGTAAGTATCCGTTAACATTATTATTCTGGAGAAGACTGTGATCAACATACCAGATAGAATGATAACCTAAGAATAGTACAGCCTACAAAAGAACAAGTCAAGGAATTTCTAAACCACATGAAAGAATTTCGCCACTTCGTAATTTCGCGGAAAACTTTCTCTTACTACCCACAATGGTCGTTGTGTTCGGAACTTTTACTTTGTGAACGCCCTTAGAAATGAGGTTCCTTTTATCGTTCCGACGGCGCTCATTTATTTTTACTTCTGCAGCTCATCTCTTAATACGGTCAGCCAGGCTGAGATCACCACGGACGTATATTCCGGATCACGTCAGCTTGAGTGACTTTCCAAGTATCAGGTTTCTTTCTTCAGCAGAAGCGAAGGTAGCCTTTAATAGGCGGCTTTTCTGAGTACTTTTAGAATACAGCTCTTGTCCCATTCTATAAAGCTCATAGATGATAACTCCTGAAACTGTTTCTGGAGAGAGCTTCCTTACTAACGACTTAATGTGACTTAGGTCACGCTCAGATCTAGCCATTAGTTCCTTTACGGAAGGTTATCTTAACTTTTGAAAGATGACTGACCAGTCAGCAAGGTCAGTCTTACCACGATGTGGAGTTTCAGCTCCTGAAATCTCCTCCATGCAATCCTATTTGGTATCAAACGCAGAGTTCTCGCTCTGTTTTCTTACTTTTCTTTTTCAGTGTGACTGTTAACTAATCATTTACTTTATTTTTCCTCTTAACCACATCCTTTACACCGCTCAGACTTTGCTCCTCTGCAGTGTGTTTTGCGTTGATATGGGAATCTGGAAATGAAACCGTAGATTCACATACCTTTGTATGAAATCTAAACAATGTTTGGCTGAAGAATAACCGAATTAGAGACGCGTGTCTCAATCGAAATCAGAACAAGGTGATCGGGGAAACAAAGGTTCTCAATTTCATCATAAATACAAATGTAAAATTTTACCAAAACAAATATTACCACTCAGTTATTCAACCAATTATTGATCCCACAATAATAGACAAATTGATAAGACATATAAAGAAGTTACCGAACGCACCAAAAAATAAGTATTATTCTGTCATTTCTGGATAGATCAAGTAGAAATCCGTTCAAAAGATAGTAGTTTGTTGCTTTATAACACAAAGTGTTTCCAATGCTGGGAAAGTGCTCCAATTCACAACCAAAATGCACGGTCTCAGTCAAATCAAGCAACACAATCAAAGAGCGAACAGTGAATATGGCTGCCGCCAAGATAAAATACCGATTGAAAAAACATAGACACAGTTCAGGAAGAAACATAGAAACTCAATGAGAGCGGCAGAAAAAATAAGAAAACTATTATGAAATAAAACATTACAATCTCAAATGGCATCAAAAAGAATAACAATAATGCATAAATAAAGAAACAATTAGGAACAAGTTGCGAATGTATGCATGGACGGATTTTCACACATGAAACCTTCAAAATGGATCTTATACTTAGTGCTGCCTATGATTTGTTTCTTCTAAGCGTGCTTTTCTCATTTCCGCTTTAACAGTGTTTACATCTACACGCTCGCTATCCGCCTTTCTAATGTGGTTCACCTTGTTGGTCTCGTTCAAATCAAAAGCTGGGCTCATGATAACGCTCTATATTTCCTCGAAAACTGAGTTCTGCTCATCTCCTGCTCCCTGTTTATCTGAGGGCGATTTCTAGGTATGTTCAGCAGCTCAATCATCTCAAGAATTAGCAGCATCGGGATGCTTTGAACAGCCAACGTGACAGTGGTCTTCAGCAAATGTACATGCAGCCAATGTGGGTTAGGTGTACATATTATGACACCACTTATTGCAGTCGTCAGATTGCATTCCATTGTCCACAGGAAAATAGCATGCAGGTCTGTCACAACGATCATTTACGTGCGCTATAAAATTGTCTTGGGATCTCACGGGAAGAATAACAGAGAAAACTGATCTCTAGAATAAGTGCCCTTTGAGGCTTGATAGGTGATAGACACTGAACTGAAAAAAACAGAGGTTTGTATGTTACTGTATCTAAAAACTATAAAAATCTTACTTTAACGGATGTAAAAGGACCCGAACTTCTTTGGAAACAAACAATACTGGAAGATAAACTCAACAAGGGAAAAAACACTAGTGCACTTTTTTGTATCTGTACACAAAAAGTACAGATGATAAACTTCTTTAGAAAAAAGCTATGCTCCTGGAGATTACTTTAAATGAGACGAATTCAATTAAATCAAGAAAAGTGGTCTGGATTCGTAATTAAGCGATCAATACTATAAAATTTATCCAGGACAAAAATACCACTGTCCTTTTTAAATACCGTGCTATATAACATACATGAAACGACAGAAATAACGAAGCGATTATAGTAACATCGTATAGATAAAATTTTGGATCATTAATTTGTTTGAAAACCAGTGCATAATGACTGAGAATTGAACTTGTTTTAATTTACGTTATTAAGGATACTAGCTACGGTGTCTTTTCAACTTTATTTGTTTATAAGATGTGGCAGTTTATAATTTTCACACTACCTGCCGTTAGTATTTATTTCCAGATTTTCTAAATCTAATATGTGTGCTATCGTTATCCAATTTCCATTATCTTATTAATTGAATTTGAGTGGATAGTTAACACTTTGGGGATTTCCCCCAAACTCCCCAAAGTAGTGGAATTCAGTCGCCAGTCTTCAATAATAAGGATAGGAGGTCTATTGACCTATTTTATCCCTGCAGTTTGTTACACTATGGATGTCCGATCTCGTCTTGAACATATCAACAGAAGGTGCTGATATTACGTTTTCTAGTGGAATATTCCAATAATTCACTACTCGGTGAGAGAAACGAAACTCCAGATGTAGACGATTTGATCTCAGTTTTTAGACTTCCTTCGAATGTCCTCTCAAATGATCAGCACTAGACGGGAGTAAAAGATAGGACATGTTAGTACCAAGGTCATCGTTCAGGATATTAGATCACTCCGTATTCGCCGGTAAGATAACGGAAATAAGTTGAGGTGTCTCAGTCTGTCTTCATAAGATAGGCCTTTTACCATTTTTGTCCCGCAGCGTCGGACTCGTTCCAACATATCCGCCTCATATTTGAAACAAGGACTCGCTGCTTGAATTCCATATTCCAAATGTGGCGTACGAAAGTTGGGTATAATCTAAACATTTCCCCATCCAGATACCGAAAATATCTACGAATAGACCATAATGCCATATAGATTTTTGCAGCAGCAGCTTTACAGTGACTGGTTGTTTTGAGATCATTACTTAGTATGACTCCTAAATCTTTATATTTTCTTACTTTGGGCAACACTAGTCCACATATTGTGTAGTAATACGAATCATCGTAGTTATTTAATTGCATCACTACACTTTTGTTAGGATTTACTTCTAGTGACCACCCGTTCACCCATGCCACTAATGAGTTAAGAGCTTCCTGTAATGCTATTCTGTCTGACATGCTATATATGGGTCTCCAAATCTTTATGTCATCGGCGAATAGTAGAACAGAAGACTTATCCATAGTTGGTAATTCATCTGCATAAAGTAAAAAGAGAAGAGGACCTAGGATTGTGCCTTGGAGGACTCCACTTTTTACTGATTCCCATGATGAGAGAGCTCCATTTACTCTTACCCTTTGTCTCCTGTCATGAAGAAAGTCACTTATCCTGACTATGACTACATAATGAATTCCAAAACTTTCCAGTTTTAATTTAAGACCAGAATGGGAAACTTTATCAAAGGCTTTACTTAGATCTATGAAAAGACATCAGGAATACTGCAATCTTTTGCCTCAGCCCAATCTTTCCTTGCAATGAGAAGATTTGTCAAACATGATAAGCCTTTCCGAAAACCATGTTGTTCCTTGGACAAAAGATCATGTCTTTCCACGTAGTTTATAACAGCCATCCTAATAAGGTTTTTCATCAGTTTTACAACTGCACTAGTTAAGCTGACGGGTCGATAGTTACCAACTAAATCACTACTCCTAGCCTTATACACCGGACTGATTATCGCGTCTTTCCAGTCTCTAGTCAATTTGGACTGCCGCAGCGACATATCAAACAGTACCGCTAAAGGTTCAGTAATTTTATCCGATAGGGCTTTCATAATCCTAGGATGAATATCATCAGTACCACTGGACTTATCAGGTTTGAGGTGCTGAAGTAGTCTTAAGACAGTAACTTTATCAATAACTACAGGGTCCATCAACAAGACGCCACAATCACAATGGATACGTGGTTGTTCCTCATTATGGGTAGAAAAAACTTTACTGAAATATTCCGATAAAGCTTCGGCTTTTTCGGTATTATTTCTTGCCAAAATTAACGGATTTTCTTGTATCAAAAGTGATGGGATTCCATCACATGTGGTGCATTTTCTGTGTCGTAAGCTTAGTTTCCTTTTGTTGTTTTCCTTTTTAGCTCCCCTCACACACGCTGCTTTCCACCCAATGCTAGTACATAAGGCACCTACTGATTGAATTCAGAGTAATAAAATTGGCAACGGTTATCTTGAAACGATGTTCGATTTAAAAATAATTTATTGGTTGAATCAGTCCATATAGTCGGTCGATCGAAACTACTTGATAGCTTTTCAGTGTAGTAATATATTCATATCTCATTGGAAGATTTGCTTTTGAGGGAATTCCAGCTGAACATTTGTGGTGTAGTCATGCAACCATTGGAAGAAACGGACAACGTAAAAGTCGCCGTGCGATGCCGGCCAATGGATAAAAAAGAAATTGCAATGAACAGCAAGTCCGTGATTTCGGTATTGTTTTTTGTCATTCATGTAAGATTATGTTATATTATAGGTCAGTGAACTAGATGGGTGTGTGACATTAAAACGCACAAGTTCATGTGATGACCCTCCAAAACAGTTTACTTTCGATATTGTTTTTGGTTGTGGCAGTAAACAAACTGATATCTACAACATGGTGGCCAGACCAATTGTTGATAAAGTTTTAGAAGGATATAATGGTACTTTTTCAAATATTAGTCATCAGATCTATTTTTCATTTTTAAAGGAACTATATTTGCTTATGGACAAACAGGTACTGGAAAAACATTTACGATGGAAGGGATCAGATCCGAACCAGAACTGAGAGGCATTATCCCGAATTCATTTGCCCATATATTCGGGGCAATCGCGAAAGCAGATGCGAATACGAGATTTTTGGTGCGTGTTTCATATTTGGAGATATATAATGAAGAGGTACTGTACATTTTTCATATCTAACTCCTTCAAAGGATCAATTACTGTATCTTTTATTGTAATAGTAAATGAATGATTGGTTTTGTTTCATTACTCAATATTAATTGCTAAATTTACAGGGAATTATTCTGTAAATTTTGTGATCAAGCTTTGATTTTTAAATTTGAGGGCATGCATTTTAAATACTTCATCAGCTGTTTTGTTGATAGCTACCATGGCATTTGAATTTTTCGTGAATAATTTGTTTTTCAGTAATATCTAGTAAGTTGTTTGATGCAAATTATTCCTTGCGGTTTTTATTTTCGTAAATATCTTACTTATGTTTAAAATTTCACTAATAAAACTGATATTTTATGTCCACATTGAACGTCTCATTCTCTTTCCACTTTACGGGAGTGCCGAAACCAAACCTCCGTTTGTGCGACCGTAGTGCTTTAATCTTTGTGTGATACCTTAAGGGATGACTTATTATAGTAGAAGCAGAAAAATATGCTGTGCTAGGTCCTACGTCAATAACCATCATACGAAACTGTAATGTGAGATCTTGTCCTACGTTCGGAAAAGAGAAATAGCTATTTTAGTTTATTCCCGTAATAATTGTTAAAATTCCCAACTAAGTATTTACCGGTAAAGATCCCACAGGTATTCGAGGTTTGACAACGCGTTTACACATAACACCTTTATAATCGAAGTATACCAACCTAGTCAAATCAGAAGTTAAAAATGAAGGGGTTCAAATATATATTTGGAAAGCTATCGATACGTTGAGAAGCGTTTGGTCTCAGCTGGGATGCGTAGTACGGCGTACTCAATCGAGATTTGGTGCAGACGCGTGATCAAGCACCTTTAGCTAGGTGTCTCTAGTAAAATTATTGAGGTTAGCACCGATGTCAAAAGCTTAAGAACTATTTATTTTAGGTATTTATTTACCGATAGAATGGTTTGACACTCACAAGAGTATTAGCATCTTTGATTGAATGAAATTTTACGCATAAGTTCTTAAGGAGGAGAACAAATCCGTATTTGTGTCCAATTCACGCCACTTAAATACCCTAAAATGCTATGAAGGCATGCGAAATCCTGTAGCAATTGTTGAGTTGTAATGTACATTCATTTTGAAGTCAAGGTCTTCAACTTTTACTGAACCCTTTTGTTCAAGAACGTGTGTCAATGTGGCCTCATCGACGATGTACTGGTGAATGTCGCTTTAACCAACGTCCCTTAATGAACAATTTCTAGAATCAATTTTTGAGCACACACTTTTAAATCATTTGACTAATTAGTCTACATCAACTTTGAACTCAATCTTATCACTACGTATTGTTTTGTACGATTATAGACTGTTTACAAACAAGAGTGTAGAGGATTTTTATATCACTAACAATTTATTGACGTAAATAATATCAAGAGCACTAAGATTGTACATTGCTGTGATTTACTTATTATAGGTTTTTATCCAGCTGCCATCCCATATACTCTCCTTCTCTACATTTGATCAAAGTGAATTTTCTAAATCAATCTTGTATTATGCCTTTCATTTTGAATTTAAGAGGTTTCTCCGTAAGCCTTACACTAAAAACACTCTATTAAATCCTTCAGTAAAGTCTGTGAATGTCATATCAACAAAAAGGCAAATAAATTTAGTCACTACCCAGCCCCTATCTCACAATAAGAAAATTTGTCTGGCAAGGACGGCTTTTAGTAGGATCATTTTGCACTTCTACCGACAAGTTCTATTACTCTATCGCCGTTCAGCCTAGTCTGGACTACTTTTCTAAGATCAATGCCACCATACGAGTTGAACTAATAGATTGGTAGTCACACCTGGCTTGCTCATCTTCGTCCCTGAAAATGGAGCTAATTAGAATATCCTTTTGGTATTTCAAGAGCAACGCTATAGCCAACTTCAGAAGTGGTTTGAAATTAACGTTTGTGAGGGATACAACGCCCGAGTGTTATTCAGCGGTCTGGTGACATGTGCACTCCACATTAAGCAAAGCAATATGGTAGGCGACAAAATATATATATATATATATATAATTTTCTGATTTCAGTGACCAAACGTTCTGTACAATCTCTCTTAGCGTAGATGAGCAGATTCAGCATTTAAATTGTAGCTGGTGTGCATCAGCAGACATTAACAGTTATAATTGCTTACAACATAGCGTCTTCCCATTTATTGGTTGATACTTTTCCACGGTTTTTAAAACTTATTTTTGACTTTATTTATATCTTGTGCATTACTGATCACATATTTACATATCAAAAGGACTACTTCTTTATAGCTGAGATAGTCTCATCAAATTGTCTGCTAATCTCAAGCCTACTTGCTTTATTTTCTATTATAACAAATGTGTTTTGCCTTCATCGATGGTGAAAATAAAGCCTTAAATCACTTAACCAACTAGCTACCTGTTGATTATACAGAAAAATATCAAATAAAGTGAAAAATTGTGGTAAAATTATTTTATTCTCACCTTTTCGTTTGCAGATTTATTCAATAATCTAGAACAGAATCGTTAAGAAACTTAGTAACGGTTCACTCAAGATGTATCGAAAAGTTCATTAACCCATAGCTTCCACTGATACATTGCTTCTCATATTTAATTACTAGTATTATTAAAAAAGAATGCAATTTTATTGAAACACCATAATTTGTTATTTTCCTTCGTGATGCTGATATCTGTAATTTGTTTAATTACAAATTAGTTAGCAAAGTTATTATAAAAAGACAACTAATATAAAATCATAATTTCCTTCACATTTTTTGAAATGATTTTGGTGACACTACCTTTTTGACAAGACAAGAATTTCTTCAGATGCACTGAACAATCAAATCTGGAATTTGGTGCTAAACTGAATGAGAATCAATATCTGGTTTGGACCACCTGATTTTTCAGAATCCAAAGAGTCACCTACAACTATGCACTCTGATTATGTTAGCTTGATTGACTTATTTTTCTTTGTAAATATCTATTCTCAAACAGAATATTCTTGAAACATTGGTATTGATAACATATTAATTAATATAGTCTACCAATTATTATAGATATTGTCCTATCCATGTTATGGATATTTATTTTGATAATTAACCAAATATCAATTTTTAGCTGTTAAACCAGAAAAGATATCTGTCGAAATAAATACTTTATTTATTAAAATTTGTATATTACTGATCTTTTGATTTATTTCATAGGTTCGAGACCTTCTTGGAAAAGATCAATTCGCACGTTTGGATGTTAAGGAGAGACCAGATATCGGTGTGTATGTTAAAAATCTATCTTCGTTTGTTGTACACTCCCCAAATGAAATGGACAAGTTGATGTCATTCGGAAACAAAAATCGTAAGATTTTATCACAATTTCATCAAAAGTATGAGTAATCAGGATATATAATTTCTTGATGGGAAATCTTACTGTTATATCATATATAAAAAAGATTGATGGTATTATTATTAATGGCTTTATTCAATATAAAGCCATTAAAAAAGATGGATGGTAGTTAGCAGTGGAATCCAGGACGCGAGTCTCGTCCTACTTAGGATTCGTTGGCTGGATGTACCTGCATCCCAGAGTTAACGTTCACTACGGGACTCGAACCCAGTACCGTTCGCCTCAAACTCCACCGCTCTATCTACTTAGCTATTGAGTCGTGACAGCCAGTAGCTTGTGCTATTAGGTGGAGTTCAATTCATTTTCGCATTATTTGTTTGAATCTTCCTATTCATGTTTATAACTGCAATTGATTAGTCTCTTATTGCCATGTGTGCATTCCGTGCGGACTGACTCGATAATACCTCAAGTCACAAGCATATTTGTTTACAACGCTTTTGACATAAGACATTATTGAGGCGATCCGCACAGGATGCACCAATGACAATAGGAGACCGATCATTTACAGTCCTAAACACCAATGGGAAGATCCAAACAAACAATACTAAATGAATATATCATATATATCTAATAAAATACGTTTAATCAACCATGGTCAATTTGTTCAGCGATCCCGTTTTCTCAGACTTACTTATCCATTATTGAACTATTGAGTAATTCATGTTGAAGTTACAAAGGGGTTTACAGTGAATAAAAGTTAACCAAGAAGTTTAGCAGCACAAATCAACTGTCTTTTTTAGTACACTATATTCGAATAAATAAGAACAGATTGAAACGAGCAGATTATAAGGATGATTCTATCGCTTTCTAAATGCGGTTTCAGATTATGTTCATCTATGCGGGCCCACTTCATTTCCATGGCCTTGTTATCGCCTTACCTTTACTAATTATACCTTATATACAGGCTCCATACTGCGACAGGGGAATTCAGAAAATATTGCACCTGTCGTCCAATGTTCCGAATACTTGGTTGGAGGCAGAAGGATATGCTTGTAACTTTGTCGAATAAACTAAACTTTTAATATAAATCAGACTCACCAACTTATTGTCAATAGTTAGACATTTTAAACTAAGCTCATAATCTTGGAATTATTCATTTTCCTTTTTATTGTATACTCATTAAAGAACTTAATCTATCAAATTTTTACCTAAAAAGTTTTCAGCGGTACACTTTATTAAAATGAGACATATGTTTATAACAATTCGCATACAAGCTAAAAAGAAACAGTTCTTTCTACGTATTCATAGGATAGGCAAATAATATAATGCGTGAACGCAGCAAAAGATGTCCGTATGGTTAAACAAACTTATTCGTTAAACACACTTAAACACGGAAATTCAAGCGATGTGCTTCAGTTTAATTGAAATCCCCAACTCCTTCATCACTCGTCTTGACATGGTATAACTTACTTTGCGTGACATGTTCAATTCTGCCTCGTTTATCTAATAAAACTCATTAGACTGGATTTCTTCAGCATTCCTTGATTTACTGAATTCCTTATTATATTAATTTTGTTTTTTTACTTTCTACAGGTGTAACCGGTGCAACTAATATGAACGAGCATAGTTCACGTTCACATGCAATTTATACAATAACAATTGAATGTAGCGAACATTCAGAGAAGAATAAAACATTACTTCGTCAAGGGAAATTACACTTAGTTGATTTGGCTGTAAGTAGAGTTTTAAAGAGCTTAATTTACATACATAAATCCTACCTAAATTACCTTTCATTACCTCTTATTCATTAAGTCTTACTATTTCATAAAAACTTGTCTGTTGCAATCGGAGAACACAAGATCATGAGTATTTGGTGATAGTAACATTCGTGTAGTTGATGAGATTTCTTGAATACAACAATTAAATTATTACAATATGCTATGTCCTTATTTTATACAATTATCGCGAAATGCGATTGCCAATTTAGATACGTTGACTTATACAACCAAACTAATGACGCATACATCAGTACGGGCAGCCTAAAGTTCCGATTAGTCATTTTTCCATCTAGCCCTGCCTGTTAAGTTCAAAACGCCAATCTCATCCTCCACCATATGAATCAGATATTTCATACATACTTGGTTTACATACAAGCAAAATCAGACCACATCACACCATAAAACAGAAAGTAACATTTGTACAATATCAAGCCAAAAGTTGCTGTGGTTATGAGAAACTGACTAATAGATTGATAATAACTTGAGAATAGTAAATCATGTGTCAGTAACCAACAGGTCGATTAATAGCTTATAATAATAAGAATATAAATATACGGAGTGCTATTACTTAACAATTATGCACTGAGAACATATGCATAGTATTAGTCCTTAAATAGATCTCAACAGTTACAATGCGTTGTCGTCGGGATATAACATAGTGTATGTAAATTAATGGATCACTTAACGTGAGGATGTAACTAGTCATCTAACAAAAAAACCTGCAGAACAAATCCGAATGAAGACTTAGAAAATGTTGATGAAGTAATTTCTGATTTAATGACTATAGAGAGCAATAATTCATTCTTTTTAATTTCTTGAAACACCCTGATTGAATGAAATTTAGTGAAAGACAGAATAACATATGACCACTATCAATCGTAAGTTTTTAGAAAACGTTTATACGCTACATTTTTGTACCTTAGATAACAGCTTTTTATATACCACAAAGGATTAATTTAACACTAATTCACAAGAACGTCATACCACGTTTTGGACCAAAGAATTCAAAACTGATCACTTAATGATTTCTAACCAGTTACTAAATGTTTGATTCTTAATTTGCTGTCTAAGAGTTTAGGTATTATGTCTATTATTGTTTGGATATGTACAGAGATCGGTTGTTTCAATGACTGGACATACCTTATGATGAACAAAGTTATGAATTACTGCAAAATCTATCCTTTCCTCTTTTTACATTACCTAATAGTTTAGACAAAATAACGTTAAGCATTACCATCATTTTATAAAATTATTTCATACTATATTGAAGTAAGATTATTGTGAGTTTATTGAGAATATGTATCGAGTATAAAGCTAAGCAACTTTAAGTTCCAAGAATGTTGAAAAAGATATCAACTCTGAGATTCTTCTGCACAAATGTTTTAAGTGAAAACAAATGATGTATTCGCAAAGACTAATTGTACTGTGTTAGTTCCACAACTATTTCAAAACCATGGTTCAGTTAATATATTTATGCATATGAATCTCAAATTTCATTGTATATAATAATCGATTCAATTTACCTTATGAGTTTGCTAGGAAAATAATTTTAATAGACAATCATATGTTGGAATAGATAACGTTTCCCATTAGGTATAGTGAAAAGTAGTGATCATAATGATTATCACTATTATTACTGTAGTAATAATAATTATTATTTTCATAGTTGAAACCATGAGTCAATTGAAGCTAGACCGTCATGGAAAACCCATAAATACTGGACGGCCGTTTCGCCCTATCATAGGACTCCTCAGCAATGTGCATCCACGATCCCGCACGCGCAAGGTTCGAACCCGGGACCTACCAGTTTCGCGCCATAGCACTTAACCGATAGACCACCGAGCCGGCACCCAGCGGTATTAATTTTTAGCTTCAACCAATCCACGATGTTTGAGCAACCGTTCACCAATTGTCTTCTCTCCACAAAACCCCATCTGATCTATAATTATTATTATTAATAAAACAACCTTATTTTTTAAACATACATTTTAACTTTTTGTATACATTTTAGGGATCTGAAAGACAAGCAAAAACTGGTGCAACTGGAAAACGTTTACAAGAAGCGAATAAGATAAATTTATCGTTAACTACATTGGGTAATGTAATTTCTGCATTAGTCGATGGTAAATCAACACATATACCGTATCGTAATTCCAAATTAACCCGACTATTACAAGATTCACTAGGTGGAAATTCTAAAACTGCTATGGTAAAACCATTTGTAAAATATCTTTACCCTTTATATGTATTCATTCATTTTTACCTGAGTCAATGGTAAGCATTAAAATACCAAAATAATTTTAGTGACAGTAGTTTTTGAAATAGTTGTTAAGCTAAGCTTATTCATTTATATTGTGGGGTTATACAGGAGTTTTAATCCTACTTATGAAAATCTATATGCAAACATACCAGAAAAGTAAACACATGTCCAAACAAGCACAAAAATTAACTTATTATCCAGTGTCTGGAACAATTTTGATGATGGTGATGCTAGTAAATGTTAAAACTTTTGTAATGAATATAATTAGACCAATATAGCTAAACCAGGAGATTTGTAGTATAACTCCATGGTAATATCAAACAATACTTATCCAATTCAAGGTAAATTTTGACACAGTGTTATAATTATCGAGCTTAATTATTAAGATGACTAATCATATACACAGAATGAGGACTTTTGATTACACAGATCACTGAACTGGATAATATTTTTTTCGAAACAATCTAATTCAGACTGATACATTGTTATAATTCAACCCAACAGATTCTGGGTTCTGAACAAGCACACTGCATTTAGACGATTGAGCTGAAATCAAATGTGCCATAGGTCTAACATCCAGTGGCTTGCGGTTGAACTTAACCGATTCCACAGCTCTTCACTAGAATTTCCCCTCGAAACTATTTATTCAAAACTATCGGATTATTACTGAGAATTTTTATATCATTTAAAGCAATTAGTCCCTTTGATAAATTTCGATAATGTAATGAGAAGACGAAGATTATCAGAACTATGTAATTCAGAACTTTGTAGTTCTGATAATCTTCGTTTTCTTATATTATTACTTCCAAAGTAAATATTTCCATAAGATATAAATATTTGCATTGGTTATTAATGTCATAATATCATTCTACACCTTTTCTCGACAATTTTAAACTTCAGATAGCAAATATATCACCAGCCGATTACAATTTTGATGAGTCATTGAGCACATTAAGATATGCGAATCGGGCAAAAAATATAAAGAATAAAGCGAAGATAAATGAAGATCCAAAAGATGCAATGCTACGTCAATTCCAAAAAAAAATTGAACAACTCCGTAAACAGTTGGAAGAAGGTAAATAAAAATAAAGATTCACGAATAGAAAAACACAACCTTTTCCCTTCATAGCTGTTGTTATGATAAGAATTATGTAACACAGAATATTTTATGAAATGACCCGTCAAAATTCGTGAAACAAAGTATCAGCTCAGGTATTAGTTTACGGAGTCACGCTTTTGAAGTTGCAGCTAAAGAGACTATATTAATGACCTCAGTGCTAAGTAGCTTCTGTGCTGTGTCGTTAAAGGTTGAATGTTTAAGCTAAATTACACCTCTATATGAGTTGATCTAATTAAAAAAGTAATTAAATTATATTTAAGGATTCGTTTCATCGGTTGGGAATTATTGAACTAACGCAAGACGGAAATCCTATTTTGTTCCACATATTTCGGCACTCAGAAACCGCATTGATAAAATTTAGAACCCATTTCTCATGGCGAATACGACATAATGACACATTGGGTTGGAATTTGGTGCTCCATATTTTCCAACTTCAATTAGCTGTTGATATATAATATTCTACAATCATTGTTATTGATGATTTACTATCTTAATACCGACGAACTACTCACTAGGACGCCTAAAAGTTCATATCCTAGATTTATTAATTACCGAGGTATTCTTTTTCCTCTTTTGAGAGATGTGAATTTCTAAAAGATCACTTTTTTTTAACCAAACGATATAAACTATTTGGGCACCGAAAATATGTTGTGTCCTGGTTAGGAGCTTATTAACAGCATCAGCTTCAAACTATACAAATCTTTTCATAAAGCACTTTAGTACCCAAAATATGTTTATTGCCATTATCCTTTTTAGAAAAGCGTAAATTGGATTGTAATTAGTCTGACTTGTAAATATGTGTACAATTGTGCTCATGCAATAAAAATAATCCACGAACAGTTAATTAATCCTTAAACACATTGTCAACCCGAATTTTTTGTTGTTTACACCCTACGTGTCACTTTATTGTGTGGCATTGTTCTAAATATAAACCGATCAACTTTCGATGAAGTATGTAGTAAATTTCTTAAATAGAAAAGTGCTTGAATAACGATCGTAGAGGACTATGGCTTGGGAAACGATGTGAAATAATGGTTCGTCGATTGAATAAAGCCTTTGGCTAATAAGTCTAGATTTAGTGTGTTTCTTAGAAACTTGATTAAAATATCCATGGAGATGTTCGTAATCAGAAATATATTTTAACACAAAAATATTCATCACTTAGTAAGGTGTTTACTTGTGGTTATGCCTCTCTTATATATCGTACATACAAGAATCCGACTTGCTGTTGGAAGTAATTCATTTATAAAGTCGCTCTTGTGATTGGTACTTTTCAGCAACCTCTACTCATAGATAACTTTACATTTCTCTGGATTTTATTACGGGAGCTAATTATGATGTAATATAGATTGTTTTGTTATAAAACCTGTTAACGAAACATGTTATTCATTCAGCTTATACCAACCCCTCCCTAATCAAGCAATTAAAAACAAATACCTATTATAAGTTGATGGAAATCTGTTCAATTAATGAAGGATAATTCAAAGTTACGATATCATTTTAAAGCTCTAAACTGAATTCAAGAAGTTTTTATAAGTATATCAAAAGCTAATGCAGTGAATCAAGTTTTTAATTTACTATATAATCCTACCCTAATAACAAGTTAAAAAAGGAGTAGGTTTATGTTTTTTTCATTTTTACAAAAATAATTTACCTTTCAAGGTGGCATAGCTTCAGACCCAACAAATGCAGATGAACAAGTTAGTGATGATGAAAATGGTACAATTGATCACAACGATCAAGAAAACAGATTGAAGAAGTCAAAAGGAAAAACAGTAAAACTGAGTAAACAAAAAATGGCTGAAATTCAACGTATGATTGAAGCTGACAGACGTAAGTTAGAAGAAGAGAAAGATATGGCTATAGAGGAACGAAACCGTATTCAGGTAAATTAAAAAGAACTCTGTCTTTCAGGTAACCTTTAATAACTTTTTGAATACGTTTATGATTTTTTTGTGTTTATTCATATTAAGGTATAACGTGTATTATTCAATCTAGTTAAATCCTTTTACTGGGAACATTATTACTGATAATAGTGAATTAAGGTAAACCAGTAGTATCTACATTATAATCACTGAAACGTGCATTCAGCAATCATTTGCAAATTAAATCTCAAGTTGTAAATTTGTCATCATGTTTAAAGACTTTGTAAATTAATGATCGGTCATCGTTAACCCTGCAAAAAAAACAAATTTTATCACTCAAAATGACATAAAGTGCTACTTAGCAAGAAATCATATTAAGCCAGCAAAATGATTTTATTAGACAGGTATTTTGTCCTAGTATGGGACTTCTCAGCAATACATAAACCACCCCAGGACTTTCAGAATTGTTAGTGAACAGCATTACCTTCGGACCATTAAGTTAGGACCCGGAGGTCTACAGTTCATACCTCTTTTAATTCATGATATCAAACGACCATCGTTGAGATCCATTTAACCTCCGATCAGGTTGTACTTTACTACTAATGGTTTACCAAAAAAACCGAAAAATGTAAGACTTCTCAGATTATAACTGCTTCGTCTTAAGAAAGGGGAACTGTGGAATTGTTAAGGCTTGAAAATTCCAAATCGATATCACTTACCATACTGCTAGTCGGATCAGTGACCAATTTTACGAATTTACACGACCAATGAACGACAAGTAAAGCTTTAACTCTTATTGGTCATCGAACCCTTTTCTAACCCAGTGACGAATCAGTAGGCGATGATCATGCAATAATATACTGAGAATTCCTAATCATACAGCACTCCAAATAACAAATCACTATAAGTGGCAGAGGAAAAAGAACATATTACATAATCAATTAGCCATAATTAAGGAGTGGTAAAATATATAGTAACAGTCAAAAGGTCCACTGGAAGCTTACAACAAGGAAAATATAGAAATGTAACAATTAATTTATCTGCTAAGATTGCAACAAAGATATAAGCAGCAACAATCCAGAAAATAGCTCAGAGATTTTCAACTTTCTCAATATTCGTTCTGTTATAACAAACAAAAACAATTTCTTCCATTTAACAAACTAAAATCAATTCAAATACATTGAATATTTGTACTCTTATTGTTTAATAATAACAGAAACATCTTGAAACCAAAGAAAACGAACTACGACAAGTTGAAGTAACTCGTAATAATTTAACAAAACGCATGGAAGCATTACAAAGTCGTATCATTGTTGGCGGTGAAAATTTATTAGAAAAAGCTGAAATACAAGAAAAATTATTAGAAAAATCAGCAATTGAATTACAAAAACAACAATTACGTGCAGAACAATTACATCAAAAATTAAAAGAAAAAGAAGAAGAACGTATTAATATTGAAGAAAAATATAATAATCTGCAGGTAATTTGATTGATGATATTTGTCTTGAAAAAATTGGATGTATAATTAATTCCCATAGTTGAAAGCGTCAGTCAATTGAAGCTAGACCACCAGGGAAAACCTGGAAGCAGTGGACGGTCGTTTCGTCCTATTGTTTACTAGTCCTATGTTTTAGTAGTTTCATTTATTAAAAACATGAACTGATCCAGAGTAAGTAACATGTATCTGCAAATATCTCAAACAATAGAAATGATTAAAATGATTGTCAGATGATGATATTTTGGGTGGATTGTTCAAGTTGTTAGGACAGTAAATACTTCTTTTGTGTTGAACACATTAAAAAAATCAAGATTGTATGAAATACTTCAGCTATTCACTCTTCTTCCTTTATAGTTTGAAAAGCTTTTTTAAATTATTTAATCTTGTCAGGAATGCAATTTTTTCTACTCATTAGAACATTTTGAATCTTAATATGTATCATTTTTGTCATAAATAATCTACCTAAATTTAATTTGTATAATTTGGTTGTTTTGATCTCCCAACTGATGTTTGAAACCACAATTGATCAGCCTCTTTTGGTATATATGCATCTAGCTGACCAGTCTTAAGTAGGATGAAACGCGCATCGTAGATTCCACCACTAGCTACCATTCACCTCTGATTAAAATCTACCTAATACTTATTTTGAGGGGGATTATCAAAGTAAATTTTAATAGTGATATTTAAATAATCTCTTGCTTCAACCTGATATTATACGAAGCTTGGGGAGTATATACAGAGCATAGCATGCTAAATAATACTTCTATAAATAATTCTGAGGATAAAGAACAAAACTGATTGCCAAATTCAGGTTTTTATTCAGAAGTATTTATTTTGTTAAATTCCTCCCATACATGCCAGATATTAAACTAATCGGATTTAACAGTATAATTGACAGTAGGATAACTGTGAATGTAAACCTTAGGTTTAATTACTCAAATCAAATTACTTAAAATATAATCACCAGTAAGTATATTTATTGTTGCGATCAAACACCACAAGAGATCGAACCATTTATTCTATGTTTCACATCACTACACTTGTAATTACTGGTTTTCCTACTAGTATCAAACTCAGGAAACTGAGTGATTCAAATATTCACCTTTTAGAAAAGATGCAGAACTTAATCTTTCCATTAGTCTTCACCTTCAACTATCCTCGAAATACTGATATTTATCATATAATCAAATAATTAAAATCAAGATAACATCAAATAGAACAATATTAACAGCTACGGATTGATGACCTCACCTCATTGAATTACGAACGGAAACAGCCCTAAGGCATTAGGTTCTTTTAATGATAGTTCTGACTCCCGGTTTAAAAGTAATTGTCATTTTTTCTTGTGTTAATATTATTTTGATAGGCTGATCTGATTTTTACTTAATCTAGGAAGAAGCTGCCGGAAAGCGTAAAAAACTACGTAAATTAAGTACAATATATTTGCAAGCCAAGTCAGAACTTGAAGATATGAAAAATGAACATGTTCGTGAAATGGAAGGCTTGGTAGATAATATACGTCAATTGGAAAGAGAATTAGCTCGTTATACTCTAATCATCGACCGATTTATTCCACAACCATACCAAGTAATTAATGAAAGGAGCTATTTTTCTGCCTTTATTTTATTTCTCAGATAAACATACTCTATGATGAAGATTTAAAGTTAGACCAATTCTGTAATAAAGTCTCAGCTTTTATATTAGTCACTACACTATAATTACTGTTTGAGGACTAGCAACATTACCTGTAATTAACTGTTATTTGAAACTAATTAAACCAGTCGAACCCCGAGAATTTTCTTGAAATTTGAAACCCTTGTCAAATATTTTTAAAAGACTATCACCATACTGCAATACCATAAGACAGATTGTACATGAAACCTGGAATATAGTTCAATAAATAATGCTAGTTTCATTAAAGGTTGTATCACAGCTGTAAAAGTTTGAATGGTTCTATTTCAGGTATAATTAGCTAATCATGTATTAATTTGGACAAACAAAATCAACTAACTTATTGATTAGAAAACATTAGTGAATATCTGATATATCAGAACTGGTTAATTTTTAAACAAAAAAACAAGACAGCGGAAGTTAAAATGTTTACATCCAATATGGATTTTTAAGATTAATTTCTAGAAATTATCAAAACTAGCCCTAATCAAATAAAAGTGCTAATTATTCTTTAAATGATTGATCCCATGTTATTACTTTATTTTTATAATGCAATGATGTTTGAATATTTTTAATTATTAAGTGTATCATGGAAGGATACAAAAAGTAATACATTCCTTATTGTTGCTTAAATAAAATCGTTTAAATTCTTTAATTCATCATCTAGCCATTTTACCAACTTTCAATGCAAATTAGATATACCATAATGAGTGTATTGCTATTCTCTACACAGTAACCATCGACTGCTGAGTACAAATCGTCAAATAAGCTGTACATCAAACTTAATATTTGATAGATAAAATCTGGTAGCTTACTCTCTTGAATATGGAGATTAATCTGAAATAATGTAAAGAATTACAGTCTAACACTTAAATCAAAAATCCCTAGAATTTTTAAATCTCAACCACACGTTTACTAATAACCAGAATTTGATTATTTCAGGCTGTATAAACTAAATTATAAATAAATACAACCGTTTATAAATATGGCTCTAAGACTGAACATGATAAGCTTTTTTGTGTATTTTCAGGTATAGTTTTGAAATATAATAATAGTACCTATGTTCCACTTAGCTTCATTCATTAGTTGTCAATGAGCATCTTAAAGATTGGGAAGCTTTCTTCACTGATAAACAGCCAATTCGATGTTCCCAGTGCGTTATGATCCAACAGTAATCTTCCAGAAGAAATCTCTTTCATAAGCATTATATTATATTCAATAACTCAGATATAATATTCTCATATAATACTGTAAAGTCATGATCATGATTTTAAACAATTAAAGTGCACTTACTGAAAGCCAAAACAAGTTAATAGTCCAAACAAAAGTTGAAGAACTCATCATCAGCTTACAAAAAGCACATTTATCTTTGATCAGTAAATAAAATTAAAAGCAACACACTCTAATCTTAATAATATTCAAAGTGATGTTAGATTTCTTTTGTGACTCATATTTCAAGAAAGCAAATACGACTCAATCAAAAATCTGTTAGTTTAGTAACAAATTAGGAACACTTGCAGATGTCAAACTATTGTTCTTATAAATTAAAAAAATCATCAGTAGTGTAACGTTAGGTAATTGAATATTCAATTAATCCGATATCATAAACTTTAAGTGTTCAGATTAAGGAATCTGAACAGCGGACCACGATGATTAAAACAGGTAATAATTATTTAGAAAAGAAATAAATCAAACAGACATAAGATTTCCTGTAGCCTTAACAGAATGATATATATTCCATATGGTGGGAAAATATCATACTGGAAATGTAATCTGTAATTCATCCATGAGAGTTGAATCTACTGGCTATGGAAATCAAAGACTATAACTGGTAAGTTTGTTTTAAAATGGGTGCAGCCTGCGAGCTTCGCCTAGATATTGCCATCAAGTCATTAGCACTTTCAAGCAAAGTTGGACAGTAGCTAACAGTGGAATCTAAAACGAGCGTTTTATCCTGTTTGGGACTTGTCAGCTGGGTGTATGTGCACAAGCTAGTGGCTGTCTGGACTCATTAGCCAAGCGGATGAGTTTAATGCTTGTAGCAAAAGCCATTGATCTTGAGTCCTGGTGTTAGCATCAACACCGTGATTCAGGCATATCTAACTGACAAATCCCGAACAGGACGAAATATGCGTTATATGTCCCACTGCTAGTCTTTACATAGCTTTGCTTGAAAATGTAATCGTCTAGATATATAAAACTACTTGCATTATGACATGAGTACATCTAAGAGCAATAGAAAATGTCATGGGAATTTTTATGTGCAATACTTAACGAAAAGTTTGTCCACTTCATCTCAACTATTAAGGCTTATAAATCTACTTTGAAATAGAAACAAAAACAGTTGTGATAGATTCCTGAGTTGGAAATCAGCTCTATATTCAAGCATGTTTGTGTATTTAGTTTTCTGTATTCAACTAGAGCACATCACATATAGGAAGCATTCAAAACAGAATAGCTTTTTCTTTTTATGGATGAAGTATAACGAGCAATAGTAACATAAATTCACCAAGTTTAATAATAAGTGTTTTGACATAACACTCCTCAATATTTTATAATACCATCACTTGGGACCAAATTAAACGTTATATGAAGCTTTAAAGAATCACAGAATCCATATTTTGTGTTTCAGGCTCTCATTGAAGAAAATGTACAGTGGAACGAGGATATAGGTGAATGGCAATTAAAATGCGTAGCATACACAGGAAATAATATGCGAAAACCTGAAAAGCAAACACCTGAACCTGTAAGTTCCAAACTCTTATTTTCCTTTAGCAATCATATCTAACAAGTTAAAAGAACACTAACTTATCGTAACAATCAATTCAGAGTAGTAACGAACTGTCACTTACATGCACCTCTAATATGAAGGAATATAATTGATAGCTTAATTCACTTCAACTACTTGAAATATAGTGATGATTAATTTAGGTCTATAAGTAAAAATAGGACATACTTATTCTGACATAAAAGTAGAATAATTCCAGGCAAGTAATAGACATACACCTGTTTGCTGAACTCTCTTCAAAAACAAGCAGGACGGCTGTATGATTTAATGAGATAGGCCTTTGGAAATTAACAACCATTGTAGAGAAGACTCCTGAAAAGCCAGAAGTGTGATTAATGAAGCTTAATGAGATTTAAGGTGTACAATATAACTATATCGTAACACCCCGAATTTTCCCACACACCCAAGACAAACTTTGAGTAACTTCCCGGGTTGTCGCTTCCATTATTTAGTCCAACCATGCAGAACGACCCTAAACTGACAATTATAATGTTCTTACTAGTGATTAGCTTTGAGAGAAAATTCCCGGAATTCTAATGAAAACCTTGACCAGAGGAGCTAAGCCATGACAGGTGTGTGGAAAGCGACCACTGAAGGCAATGGAAGATGATCGCACAAATTGTGGATTGATCAAAACCAGGCTTGCAAAACATTGGATTCCGACTAAGTTATCTGGAGACCAAACGTTCACACACGAGACCGAAGGTCCTGATTTTAATCCTGTGTGGTGTGGTTGTGAAGTAACAATAATGAGTCTCACATTAGTACAGAACGGCCGTCCAGCGCCATATGTTAGTGGTTGTCTGCCTTACACCAGTTCATGACTTTGATGTGAGTAAACAATCCGCAAGCTGACATTCCATAAGCCACAAAACAGCTCACCCATTAATTACAATATCACTTAAATATACCCAATGTCTATTTCAATATATAAAAACTGGTCATTTAACGAATTCAGAATAACGTCCTTATTAACTACAAATTCTTTCACTTAGAACAACTATCTGGTCAAACTGAAAATAACGAAAACTTCCAAACCAGTCATACGATTTTTACTATAACTTGGCGCTCTATTCTGCTATTAAATATGATGCTGCTATAACATACCTAACAATACCAAAAGAAAAACAGTTAATTTGGATGCATCATCTGGACGTTAGCATCCCGTTTATCACAAACCGACAGAAGTCAGTGCTATCGAAGTGACCGTTTAATTTGGTCACGTCTTACCACATTTTAGAGCGACCTATTGATATGAATAGTTCTCGAAACCTACTTCACGTTTGATACCATAAGGCATTCCACTTTTTATCTCAATTCAACCAACTGTACTGTTTCGGAGAATTCAGGTTGTCTGAGTCTCATATTTGATATAATCCCATAATGCCTATAAATGACAAAGATGAGGAACCTGTCGCCGCGAATAGCGACGTCAGTAAATCTGCAGACGTTAATTGCCAGCCGGAAACACGGTGTGTAATACTGTCCCCGTAGGACAAATCTGCCACCCCAGTGTACATTGCCGAAAATCCCCAATCCTGTGTAGCATTTTGTTCCCACTAAGCTATTTCAGGCCACCTGAAGTACATGCCAGTATACTTATTAGCTATCAATTTGCAGAAACCTGTAGAGTCATTACCAGATACGGGAAATAAACAATCACTCGAACAGAACTAGCTAGGAAGCTATCAGAGTATAGTAATAGTTCCCTAATGCGATCACCGGTACTATCCATCTGAACAAGGTTACCAAGAAACAACCACCGCACTGAGAGCGACACATCCACTTAAAACCGTTTAATTCATATTCTTCAATCCACAGTCCCATGCCTTCGTAAACCCAACTCAGCTTTGTACTGCCAACAGGCGCACACATAGGTTCTCTCAAACCCTCAAGACCCACGGCAACTCCCAAGCTGGAGGCCATGTGCAAATCAAGCACTTTACCTCACATACTTTCCGCAATTTACAATTTCCCTTCGTTTTATATAACTGTTGATATAACTATGGAACCTAAACCCTTAAACGATTCCTGATTTTTTGTTTACAGCCGACCGACCTTTCACACGTATACCTGTCATACCATACGGACGTAGGAAATGCGGAACCTCGCCAGCAGAAAACCAAACTGAACAAGAAATAAAACCTTTTCCCTACAGCCGCTTTTCATTCATTTCCACACACCTATCATTTTACATAACCTGGACACATCTTCACGAACTGAGTAAATAGACTGCGAATGCAACTCGAAACTTTTACAACACCTCGTAGAAGGGAGGAAGACCCAATATTCCATGCAGTACCCTAATAAGTTAATATATCCAACTACACAGGATTTGAAGCACGCACTAGATGGTATCGAAACAATCCATAGTACATGAACAACCATGTGGTGAAGACCGCTAGGTGACTACCTTATGAGGCTGACCATAGTATCACTGTATGACACGCTTTATGACTGATTAAATAACCAACACGCAGGCAAACACCGACTTTAAATGAGATGTTGTTTACTGCAGGACGTCCGATTAACGAGAATAAGCCAAGGCTACAAACGCAGGGTATGGGCTAGTTAATCAATAATACACATGCCGGATTCGTGGACTAACCCGCCCATGGTTTAAAAAAAATTAAACGTACTTCATAGCACAAAAGAAACGCCGAGACCACCTAATGGGAAGTCCTCGTGAAGGAAAAAGCATTTATTTCAAAGCACATTTATTATACGACAAAGCAGGACGAGTTGGAATTAGTTTTCCTTCGGGTCTTGTATCGATACACATCTGAAATATACAACAAAAGTCGATAAGTTGTGCAAGCATGAGTAATCAATGATCAGATGAATTACTGTCACCATCTGTTCAGACGGTAACTCCACAGAACATCACTAAATAATACTTACCTAAATTAGATCTAGTGATATTGTCTTAGTCCAACTAACTGAACCGATGTCTGACACTGAACACACAGCTGACCAAGTATTGAGTGCTCCACAGAGCAATCCTCTTTGAATCTGGGTGTCAAGTATAATTTATTTTTGACGTCATTTTAACCTGTAATACAAAGGATTCCAATCAATTGGGCACAGAGCATACAATTAGATTCAGTTTAAAATTTGTCACCATTTAGTCAGACGGTAACTCCAATATCATCACAAGGCTAAGAGACTTACCGTAGTCTAGTCACAGAGTTATTTTTGACATGACAGAATCCAATTGTGACAGTAACAAGATTCACGGCTCAACTAACTTCGCGAATTTCTTCAGCGCTAGATACGTAAATAAAAGAACTTGTCAATTATCAGCTCCCATAATCGATATCCCCCGGGTCTTGTATCGATACACATCTGAAATATACAACAAAAGTCGATAAGTTGTGCAAGCATGAGTAATCAATGATCAGATGAATTACTGTCACCATCTGTTCAGACGGTAACTCCACAGAACATCACTAAATAATACTTACCTAAATTAGATCTAGTGATATTGTCTTAGTCCAACTAACTGAACCGATGTCTGACACTGAACACACAGCTGACCAAGTATTGAGTGCTCCACAGAGCAATCCTCTTTGAATCTGGGTGTCAAGTATAATTTATTTTTGACGTCATTTTAACCTGTAATACAAAGGATTCCAATCAATTGGGCACAGAGCATACAATTAGATTCAGTTTAAAATTTGTCACCATTTAGTCAGACGGTAACTCCAATATCATCACAAGGCTAAGAGACTTACCGTAGTCTAGTCACAGAGTTATTTTTGACATGACAGAATCCAATTGTGACAGTAACAAGATTCACGGCTCAACTAACTTCGCGAATTTCTTCAGCGCTAGATACGTAAATAAAAGAACTTGTCAATTATCAGCTCTCATAATCGATATCATGTCACTAAAACTAATAACTAACTGTGAACACTGGACAAACATGAGTTCGGTTGCTTGCGCACAACATCTCATTGCGTCACTGAAGGCCAAATGTTACGTTGATAACCCGTTAGAAATCCACTAAGATTAGACCAGGTGTGGAAGCCTAACCCCAATAGGCTTCTACAGCTTATCAACACAACATCTGTCCTCGCTCACAGTTAGTTAGAAGCCCTTGTTCTGTTCATCGGTCATTTGTCATCACACTTACAGTAGCATGGCGTAATTAACTAACACGGCCGGTAACACACTCAAACACCACTTGTGTACTCAAACAAAGGATCTTCATTTTCCAATATTTACTGATTGACTTCTAACACTTATTCTATAACAGTCAAACAGTTTTCTTCATAGTTGCTTGAAAACTTAACCTGACAAATCACTATTCCATACGGTATTTATAACCAACTGGACGTTGCCAATTTGCATTATCTTCTTATATCTCACGTTTCGAATATTATATGTTTCTGAGGATACACACTGACACGTAGCTTGAGGCATTTCCATCATGTGACTTTGGCTTGCATAAAAGTTATGATGCATATTCTCTTTGTTATAAATGTTAGAATACACAGATTAATATGCATCGATATGTGTGATTCATCTAAACTTGATTCACCTGCGAAACAATCGAATGGAAAACATGCATCTCCCTCATATTCATTATGATAATCTCGAACTTGATTTGAATTTTCTGTCCGTACAAACATCACATCTGGGTAAATTGGTTCTCTGATAGCTTCGGTAAAACTTGCTATTCCTTCCGATTCAACATACCACTGACTAGGGATTCTACTCGACACACATTAGTTTGAAGAATAACCAACATCGTATCGTGCAGCGATGAGGCTGTGATACCTGAATGAGATAGACCATGAAGGGCATCAAAGACGAGACGGCGGTAAGTGGAGGGTACGATGGATCGAGGGAGACCTGTAGAAGTATCGCATAGGATAGTACCTGAGCTACAAACTAAGGGTACTTCCTGGCACTGAAAGGACGTAAACTGTTGTGCTTCTGTGCATGAAGGATCATTTGCTAGGGCGACGGCCATGGCAGGTAGATCGAGCACCGGCAAAGTAACTGCATTCACTTGAATACTTGACTGAGCATCGGCAACATAGTTCTACTCGCCTTTGACGTGACGAGGTTCTGTCGTGAACTGAGAGATATAGTTCAAATGTCTGCACTCTCGTGGTGAGTAGCGGTCAGACTTGGTATGCAAAGCATACGTTAAGGGCTTATGGTCGGTGAACAGGATGAAATTACGACCTTCTACTGCGTGCCGGAAATATTTGATAGCGCAGTAGGCTGCTAGCAGTTCGCGACCAAAAGCGCTATATCTCGTCTCTGTGAGAGTGAGGCGTCGTGAGAAAAATTCTATGGATTCTATGGATGTTCTGTTGCACAACGGCTCCTATGGCAAAATCCGATGCATCAACCGCTATACTAAGCGTGGCTGATGGGTCAGGATGTGCGAGAAGTGTTGTTTGAGCTAGGGCCGTTTTGATCTCTAAAAATGCAGTACGCGCGGCGTCGTTCAGTTTCAGCTTGCGTGGATTACCACTAAGTAAATCGGTTAATGGTCGTAACTGTTCTTCCGCGTGCGAGATGAAGCGTCGGTAGAAGTTGACCAGACCGATAAATGCCTGCAGTTCCTTGCGTTTGCACGGTACAATGTATTCCATTATTGTGCGTACTTTATCCTCACAAGGTATAATACCCTCATGCCTAATAACATGACCTGAGAATTTTATTTCCTTCCTCCCAAGTTCACACTTGCCGAGGTTGACTATTATTCCATTATTCGAAAGGCGCTGGAATAGTAGCGCTAGGTGCTGATAATGTTCATCTACGTTTGATGATGCGATTAGCAGGTCATAAATATGGACATGAACAAAATCTAGGTCTCGTACCATACTATCAATAAACCTTTGGAAAGTTTGAGCAGCATTCCGTAAACCAAATGGCATTCGTCGGAACTCAAATAGATTGAAAGGAGTCGCGATAGCAGTTTTCTCGACGTCCTGAAGAGCGACTGGGATCTGGTGATATGCTCGTACCAGATCGACCTTGGAAAAATTGTCTTGCCCTTCAGTGATGCCATGATGCGGCGAGACTAAAGAACATGGACGAGCCAATCAGAAGCTTTCGCAGGTTCTCAAGGTCACGGCGCTAGGTTCAGTACCTGACGCTTACGTACGGTCGGTTTACAAAGGATTTTAGAGAAAACATGATAATTAAGCGACTACAGGATAAGTTATCATAAGATTCTGGCGCAAAATTCAATTATATATTTGGATTGAGTTGTGGCATTATAGCTGATGTCAGTTCGTGACTAAAACCCTAAGTAAAATTCATAACCTTAACCATGAACTGTAAATCATAATTTGAATTCTTCACACGGGTTTATAACCCTCATTTAGTCTTAGTTATTACGTTGACACTCTCAGATTCACTCTAGCGTTGCTCAAATGTCGTCCATAATTTAGTCTCACCCTTAACCCTTAACCGTAACCCTAAACCTTAACCCTAATCCTAAACCATACCGACAACACTGAAACTATGTGGTCGTGGCTGAAAGAATTTTCGGGACTTTATCATGGTTCCAGAGGTCGACTACTATGGAGCCACAGGGATGAGTTCCTGTGCCGGATGCACTGTGATTTGAGAACTTCTAAACCTATATCTGACCTTGATAAGTTTTTGATTCATGTAAAAGAACAGTATCCCCTTTAATTTTTGAGTTTTGTATAATATATTTTTATTGTATGCTAACTGTCTTCTGATTGGCCAATATTACTCAAGGTCATTTATGATTCGTTCAAAGGTCGTCCATGTTCTTTAGTCTCGCCCATGATGCCATGTATGTGGGGGGTGGGGCAGCAATCGAAACCTGTAACGGCGTTTAATTCTCGATAGTCTCCACATGGTCTCTAACTAATCCCATCCTTTTTCGCATCAAGTGGAGAGGTGAGGCCCAGGGACTGTGAGAAGAACGAATAATACCAGTAGCTAGTAAATTGTCAAACTCACGTTTAGCGAAAGCTAATTTGTTCGGTGCCAGTCGTCGACGTTTTCCGTGACTATTGGTCCTCGGGTGACTATGTGGTGAACCACATGATTGGTCACCGATGGAGTCTCCTCGAGAGGTTTAGTTACTTTGCGGAATTTCTGAAATAAAGTGTGGAATGAGTCGTCACGCGAATTAAATACACCTGTGGTTCGGCACGCGTTTGTATGAGCTTTAAAGCCCATGAATTTGCTGTTCGACGAAGTATCGATTAGCTGCAGCCTACGTAAATCGACTAGCGATTCGT